TGAAAATAAGTTACCTTTCCACCTCCAGAGTAGATAAAAGAGATACACATTTCACGAAATCAGTTATAATTTTTCAAATTTTCTGAAAAGTGAGGAAAGATACAAAATAATCTCCATATATAATATGGCCAAAACCAGTAGAAACAAATTAAAAGCCACTATTTCACCTTGTTGAAGTGCCACAGTGCTTTTTGTAAATCAGCACAATCATGAAGTGGAAAACAATAAAAGGAGATTTCATAAAATGTGTGTCTGGAAAATAAACACCTTGCAAGAATTTTGCATCTTAATAATAAGGTAGGAGTCTTTGGGGCACTTAACCTGAAGGCCATGTGTGGCTCCATCCACATTCTGTCTATGGCTTCTTCTAGGGTTATAAACATGGAATAATTTAATTCCCTTTTTTCTTTTGTCCTGGGGATTTTCATAGGTTTGTTTGAAGGTGTTTTTCACCCACCCCCTCTTCCTCCCCAGCCAACGACTGTTTCTTCCACTTATCCCATTGAGGGTTGGTCCCTAAATCTTTCCTCCCAGTCTCTATCAAATCTGAGATTTGAGCTGTGGTCTCATTCAAGCCCTGGTAGTTTTTGTGACTCTCTTTTTTCCGGTACAGATGATTTCTAGATACAAAGTAATTAGCAAATGAGCTGTTAATGAAATCTGAGCAGACATCTTCAGTCCGTAGAGTAGAGTTACATTTCTTTCCACATTTCGTGCTTCACCAACAATGGGTTGGTCAGCAACTAGCAGGCTCTCAGGGAAACTTGTATTTGTGTAATCCAGTCCAATAACCAAAATGCCTCCTTGAATACAGCAGAGCACAATGCCCCCAGCTACTGTTGAGAGGCCTTCAAGTCCTCCATCTATATATTAATTTTTAATGACATTGATGCTACCAGAGCATTGTAAGTAGAAGGCAAGTTTTTAGTTGTTTTCCTAGCAGAAGTGGAAAATTTCCACCAATCTTTCTTACTCTCCCAAGAGATCCCTCATACAAAAAAGGACAAGAGGTTGTGACTTCCAATCCACGGAAGTTCAGCCTGTGGCAGAGACATGATGCTTGCCCACCCAGACGATGACCAACCCAATGACTTTAGCCTTTTTGGACCCGTATCACTAAGTAGAGGAAGTCACCACCAAAGATCTTTGTTTGACTTTAAGATGGCTATTTCTGCAAGCTATTCCCTGCTCTGTGGCCTTGGTGGAGGAACAACCCAGACTACCTCAATATCAAATTTTTCTCCCTTCTAAAGCATACCTCTCCAATCAGAAGATCAGGAATTAATGGGAAAGTTATTTCTAAACTGTTACCTAGCTTCAGATTTTCTGCATTAAGGGAACTTAAAAGTCTCTAATTTCCTGATTCCCATAGAAAGAGACAAAAAAAGTCAGATAAACTACAGGACTCTCTTCCTCAGAGACAGGGCTTTGTATTCAGAGTTAAGGGATGTAATAATGAAATGCAGAAGAAACACACACATACACCTTTACCATTAGTGGCCAAATCAGCCTCTTCTCTCCTAGGAAGGAAAAAGACGTCCCATCTGCCTGTGGCTTGCAAGTCACCTACATCTCTCAGAATTAAGAGATTTGGGGAAAAAAACAGAAATCTTCCAAATAAGAAAAAGAAAGTCATTTCTGGAATTATAAAAAGATCATGTCCAAGAAAATGTAGCTGATGTGATGTGATGTGATGTGATGTGATGTGATGTGATGTGATGTGATGTGATGTGTGATATATAGCATGATATGACATGGACAATAGCCAGAGGCTGGGTGCAGGTGGCCTCACAGAAGAAAAATGCAGATACATGGGCATCCCTGACAGCAATGACTCCCTTCCCTTGGGGGAGGGGTGGTTCCAGTCCAGACCAGTCCTAGGATGGCCTGTTCAGTTTTAGCAGTGCCCCTACTGATGCTGAGGTTTAGGTCAGTGGGAGATTTAGGTCAGAACCCCTAAAACTACATAACCCATCCTGATTCATAACAATTACCAGTAAAGGCCGGACTCTCACAGTGGGAACTGTGAGTGGAAACTCTGGAGTGGAAACTCATGACGAGGCTGGGCATCCTAGAATTATCAGAATCACAGCACATCTCATGTTCCTAAGACTGGAGTCAAAACAATGTCCTCCATAGAGGCTAATCCAGAATCAGAGTATCTGATCTCATTGCATTGCTTCCCTATGTAACTTCTAGCTTCAAGCACAAGAAAAAAAAAGGTGGGCAGTGAAGACTTGGCTGTCTTATTAAGGTCATAATAAAACTGAAAGCAATAAGAAGAGTCAGAATTTTACACAAAAAATGCCCTGTTGGCATTTGGGGAAATTTGTGTGAAGCCAAAGCTCAGAGGACAAGAAAGAGCCAAGGAATTAAGATCTCTCGGAAAAAGCAGAAAATATCACCCAAAAAGATTTCACCACATTCTGGTAAGTTGTGTAAACTTGGTGCTTGAGGTAAACCAAATAATTAATGGCTACATAACCACCACTCAACCATTTTCATGGCCCAAGATTCAAAAGCACAGGCATCTGGTAAAGAGTATTTTAGCAAACGATCTTCATGCCACTTCTAAATGCATACCTGTCAACCTTTGGAATTGAAGGACATTCTTGACCATGCTACCCGGGCAAGCAATCAGAGTTCTGTGGACTCATGGACCTATAAAAATGACGATGAATTGTCTTTACTTTTTTATTTTAAGATTCTGTTATTCTGGTTCAGTTCCATTTTTTAAAATTTAAAAAGATTTAGTCTCACATGGACAACAAGATCCACATAATCAGCAGGCTGAGATGTTAAGAATTTTAACTTTTTGCCACTTTTAATAGGATGTCTCAAAATCTTTTCTCCATAAATATTCAGTTTGGTGCAGGGGGAGTAAACAGTGATAAACCATGTTTGTTTTGAGAAATATAGCCAACATTCTTAATGGTCATAACCCATCTTTGCATATAATCCAGTCTGGCAGATGTACCAATCCTTTGAGTTAGAGGTAAAGGATCTAAAACTAGATACTTCAAGTCTCCCAGATGTCTCCATTCACATAGAAATCACAATGGACTTAAATGTCTGTGTCTGATGGCATAAGATTTAGGCTATATGTAGATATAGCAAAATCTCACCTCGATCCAATTTCGCAATTTTTTCCTAGGCCAAGGACTCACTGAGTTGGGGCATGTTTGTAGTGTTGGGATAAAAGCTTTTAGTTGACCAGAGTGGACAGGCATGTTTTATAACTCCATGAATGGAGTACCGTGCCACATTCACTGCCCAATCTCAGGGACGAAGTCAAAGGAAGAACCTTCTCAAAGTCCTGCCAAATACGTATCATCATTGTGCTCATTGTGCTCAAAGTGATTGTGCTCATCTTCAGGATGAAGTCTTATCACTGCCAATCACTCTTTCATCTGCACAGATTTGTTAGGCTGCCACCTTCAGACTCAAGCCTCTTTTCTAGAAGCAAAACACAAATTTTCACATTCTAATTTTGTTATCACATATTCTAGGTGTTCCAAGTAGGCTAAATGAGAATAAAATTATATAAATCAAATTAAGTCATAGGTGTCTTCAAATACTTCAGAATGGCACTAAACATAAACAATTCAACTTCCATATTGCAAATAAAACCTCAGCTAAATGATCTGTGGTTGCCACACAGGCTGTCCACCAATATTTGGTCCTCTCCTTTCTGATACATGGTAGGATTATGCTTCTGACCCTCCTGTTGAGCCCAGCATGGGCATGTAATTGGCTTTGATCAACAAATATAAGCACAAGTGTCACTTCCAGGAGGAAGCCTTAAGAGTCAACAGGATGTCTCAAAATTTTTTCTCCATAAATATTCAATTTGTCGTGGGGGTAGTACCTCTTTGTCATATTCATTTCTTCCTCTGCCATGATGATCATCAATATTCTCAATATGACTGCTCTATCAGCCTAGATCCCTGAATAAAGATGATAACAATATACAATAGAGATACAATGTGAGCAATAAATACATATATGTTAACTCATTTAGCTTCAGGGATTGTTTGTTACTGCAACATAACCTGACTGATACACCATAACCTGACTGAAACACCATCCGTTTATAGGAAAGAAAGGCTTGGACACTAAGCACTATGATAAATGTTACTATAATCCAAAACAGAAGAAACTTAAGACTATACCTACTATATGGCAGCATATAGATGATATGTGGGTATATCTATAACATACTTTTCTCCCATCTCACCCCTCACCAAAAAAAACAAAGACAAAAAACTTCTCAAACAATTGGATAATCTGAATTCTTCAAAATCAATGTTCGAAAACTGAAAGTGAAAAAAACAGAGTTCCCTCATTTTGACCCATTTGTCAAAAATCATTTGCAGACTTCCACTTCTTTTCTAAGACCAAGCACATTAATCAAATACAGAGCTTCAAAGGGGCTTCATTTTGAGTGACGGAACAGACAAATAAATTAGCTGCCTATGGCTCCTTTGTAATTGAAGAGGACTAGTCTGACCCAAGGGGAGAAGACTAAATCAAAAAGCAAAACATCCAAGTAAAAACAGCATCGAGGGCCTTAAACAAACCAAAAAGCCATCCTATACCCTCTCGTGTCCAAGGGTGTTATGTATGAGCCAAGCACATGTGTGTTCATCCACTAATAAGAGAATGCAAACATCCCACATGTGATTGATTTCTTATGTGCTACCATCATAAAAATAAGTTTGTGTCTGGAATACATATTCCAGACATGTGGCAGTTTATAAACCTGATCATGCATGTTACACCTACAACTTACACACATTTTTCTCTTTGAAATGATGTGACTCTAGAAGGTTTTCTTCTTTATTTCTGGGAAGAATCGCTTCAAGTTTCTCATTTAAGTAAGTAAAGAACTGCTCGTTTTTAGTTTGAAGAGCTTTTAACTAGTGACTCAGTGAAGAGTGATGTCATATGTTATCCTAGGACTGCTGGTGTGGTTCTCTCTGCTCATTCTAACCATTCCCCCTGTTTCTGTGGCAGGCAGTAATCCCCGGTTTCCATCCTCTAGTCAGCTTCTTCCCAGCCAGCCATAAGCGAACAGCCTCACAAGCAGCGGATGAAACAGGAAGTCTGACAGCTTGAGTCTGCAGTGGGACCCCTAGTGTTTTCCCACTCCATGTCCTGGCATCGTTCCCCAGAAGTACAAACACACACACACACAGAGCTCCCATTGTTGCAGCCTTCCTCAGCCCACTGATCCTAATATGGAATGCAGCAGGAAACCCATGATTTCCTGACACTCGGCAAGCTGGAGGAAGCAAGGGGAAAAAACTCCATTAAAAAGCCCAGCTTTCCTCCATGTTAGATGTGACTTGGAAAATGAGAAAGATTTAGCAAAATTCCACCGTGTCTTTTGCCAGGCTGGAGACAGGGAGAGCAGAGTAAAACCCTCAGGCTGCTGAAATTTCTAGGCTGTGAGGAAGCCCCTCAAATTCTGTGAAAATAAGGGTTTCTTAACTCACACTGAGAACGGAAAGGGGCAGACCCTTTTCATAACTCCCCCAAGTGTGTGTTACCTTTCTTTACCAGCATGGTAAGCAACAGGGCATATCCCAGCCTCGGACATGTCTGTATGATCCAAGGTACCCAAAGTCAGACAGAGTAAATTCAAGCCTGGCACTGGCTTTCCGCCGCTTCATGTGCTTTGGAAGAAGCAGGAGAAGCAACAGCAGCAGGAGTCCCCAGCAGCTGGAGCCGCAAGAATGAACTGCAAAGAGGGAACTGACGGCAGCTGCGGCTGCAGGGGCAACGACGAGAAGAAGATGTTGAAGTGTGTAGTGGTGGGGGACGGTGCCGTGGGGAAAACCTGCCTGCTGATGAGCTACGCCAACGATGCCTTCCCAGAGGAATACGTGCCCACTGTGTTTGACCACTATGCAGGTAAGAAAAAGTGGGAAACTCTCTGCATCCAGATAAACGATGCAGGAGGCGATACCTTAAGTTCAGAGGGGCCTGGCTCATTTCTAATGTCAGTATTGGGTGCGGGCCTGGCAGTAACCAGGGAGCTTAGCATAGTGTACAACCCAGGACTTGACTGTTGGTAGAACAATTTGTGCATCAATTTGTATGGTAACACTTTTTCTCCCTTAAAGCGAATGGGTAACGGCAGGAAAATACTCTGACGTGCCTTCTAGATTTGGGGGACAGAGATTTTACTCAACATTTGCCTTAAGATTCATTAAAGTTTTACTATGAACATTTTTAAATGCAGTGTAATTGCATCACAATTCTTTTCTGCCAAAAAAAGAACCACCACTAGACACACAAATGGTAAAAGGATTGTTCTTGCCGCTCTTTGCGTATTCACCTCATGCCATTTACAAATGAAAATGCTAAGATTAAGGAAACATTCATTTTTTCTAAAACAGTTGGTGCTGTAATACTATAGTTTTATTTTCCTGGGGTTGTAGATTGGGGGAGAGTTTTTAAAAGGTTTTAAATATGTATTAGGCAATCTGTATCTTAAAAGAAAAATGTTTAATTAACATGTTTTTAAAAGTAAAAATACAAATAAAATCTGAATTATTTTAAAGTATGTCCTGAAAGGACAAAATGCACATAAAATATTTTAAAGCATGGCAGTTAAGACACTGTAGTCACAACTTGCTGGGGACTTTTTATTTTTTGAGTGTTCTAAAGTTTGTAGGTGTACTTGTCTGGGTGATAGTATTATCTAAATTTTTCCATTTTGATTCTTACTTTTTCTCTTAATTTCCAAAACAAATTTTAGTAAGTTTATCAAAAGCAAGTTAATGAAATTTTTCAAGCTTATAGTAGCTTACATTTTATAACTTTTTAATCATAACGATCTTTATCAGAGATCTGAGACCTTGTGAATGGAAAATTTCTCTTCCTTCATTTTGGCTTTGGGTCAGGTTCAGCAAAGGGGAAATGGCCCACAGGAAACCAGCGTGAGTGTCTGCTTGGCAATGTGGCCATTTGAAATCCTCCTTCTATAGAAAGTAGCTTCTTTTCCAGAACTAAGCCATCACCTAAGTCACTGCTTCCCCCAACACTTACATGATGTATGAAAATATTACACAGCAGACAGGGAGAGTAACCACAGTGAATACAGTATCCATCTCCCAGCAGGTTTTTCTATATTTGTAGAAATTAAGAGCAAATTTTAATGCTGGCTCACTTAAGCCTTTCTGAAAATATAATGACTCTGCCCAGAGAAGAACATTTTAATGAGAACAGAATAAAGAGAAGAACAGGTTGACTTTCATCTTGAGAAAAAAACTAATTATAAAATTTGAGGGTCTGCGCCTTGAGAAAGTTCCTCAGATTCTTGTCCTGAAAGCATCTTAGCAAAAGTTATTTATTCTACACCTTCTTTCTGCCAAAAAAGGGAAAGTGGCTACCTTATTTCAGAAACTTTTAAATCAAAGGTAGAACTCAAAATCTAAACGGAGAGGCTTCAAATGCTTATGAAAATTATGTATCCAAATCCCCATGTATTCAGGGAGCCAGTTACAGTATGGTATCAGGAAAAAGGAGAATCAAGTCAGCCATAAAAAAAACCACACTAGAAATCAAACAAAGGCTGAACCACAGCTAGATTCCACTAGGCTCCAATAATTTTATATTTTAATTATGTACATACTTACTATTGTTGAGCATTAAAGAATCTTAAAGATTTTGGCTAGTCTATTATTTTAGCTCCCAAGAAATCACAGCCACTATACTCAGAGCAATACTTTGCACATAGTAAGCATTCCTAAACATGGTTACTTTGATGTACACTTTGTACCTCCTTAAGTGTATAATCATCTCATGTGCTTTCAGTAAGGTTAAAAAGAGAATGAAGACATGAGCCACATACATCTAGGACTGTAATGAAGTCGTTTTTTTTTGTTTGTTTGTTTTTTGAGACAGAGTCTTGCTCTGTCACCCAGGCTGGAGTACAGTGACGTGATCTTGGCTCACTGCAACTTCCACCTTCCAGGTTCAAGCGATTCTCCTGCCTCAGCCTCCCGAGTAGCTGGGATTGCAGGCGAGCGCCACCATGCCTGGCTAATTTTTGTATTTTTAGTAGAGACGGGGTTTCACCATGCTAACCAGGCTGGTCTCAAACTCCTGATCTCGTGTTCCGCCTGCCTCAGTCTCCTAATGTGCTGGGATTACAGGCGTGAGCCACCGCACCGAACCAGAGTGGTCATTTCTGTAAGCAGAAGGATCTTCTCCACCACAAAGACTTGAGTTCCTTTTACCACCACTGTCCTGATATATGATCTGGTTGAATATAAATCCTTAAGCAGACACGTGAGCATCTACAATCAATTGCAAAAGAACTAAATGCCCTCTTCTCCATTTGGATCCAGTGTCTAGTTCCTGGGTCCTACCGGCCTACTCTAAAATGACAACCTGCAGTTGAGCGCTGAGACTTTAGAAGTTATAGTTCACGTCATAGAGAGCCTATCCATTTTTACTAGTAGACTTTTTACTAGTTACTGCCCAACCCAGAAAAGTAGGGATAAAATAGTAAGGATGGAAATACAACCTACTGTGCAAGATGGTGATCTCTGAAGCCAGGCAGCCCAGTTCTAATACTGGCTCTGTCATTTACTCTGTGGCCTTGAGCAAGTTACTTAACCTCTCTGTGCCTCGGTTATCGCAAATGAGAAACAGGGACAATGAAGGTATTAGAATTGTGTGTGAGAACAAAATTGTGTGTGAGAACAAAATGATTAAATATATCTTAGAACAGTGCCTCCTGTGTGATAAGAGTTAGGTACATGGTAGCTATTAAGAATATGGTCTTGATACTTGCATACAGCCAGGAAAAAGAATGAAAATGTAATTAAAAGATAAAGACTACAAGGAGGAAAAATGTAATTACAAGAGTATCCTTTAGAAGACTAAGGTAGAATGGATTGTATGTATTTTCTTTATAAAATGGTTACCATGTTTACTGATAATTAACAAATGTGTCTATATGAAGTAATAGTAGTGGGATATTAAATTAGGAGGGGAAATATCAGTTTTGCATGAGTAAAAATATGCAAAATTGTTTTGAATGAGTTTATTTTTACAGGAAAAATCAACAACCAGCTACAAAAAACAATTTTTAAAGTTTTATGAATTCTGATGTATCCCTACCTCCTACCTACCAAAATCCAAAAGCACATCTGCTCCATGTAGCTTTCCTTGATTCCCCAAGAATAATTCCCTGTTCCATCTTCAATCCCAATTTCACAAATTTGTTTACATCTCTAGGATCTTCCACTACTGTATAGCAACTTATATGCTTCCTTATTTTCCCATCTCTGCTGTGCTGGAAATTCCTTAAGGGAAAGGAGCTGTGTCTTTCACGTCCTGTGAAATCCAACAGTCAGTTCTAGGTCCTCCTCTTGATCTCTTGGAAGCTTTTTTTATGGTTCATTACCCCCCTTCCTAAAGCATTTTCTTGGCTTGGTTTCTGGGATGCCACATTCTCCTGGTTTTGTTTCCACTCACCAGCAAATCTTTCTCCATCTCCAATGCCACCTCCCCTCTCTCTTCCCAACCACCAAATGTTGGGAAACACTGAAACCGCAGTGTTCAGTCCCTGGGTCCTCTTCTTTATTTACACTTAGGGTATGCTTGATTGTATCTAGTTTTGTAACTTTAAACATCATTCGTATCCTGATAACTCCAAAACTTGTAGCTCTACCACCAAAACCCCTTGAGACTCAGACTCATATATCCAACTGTTTGAATATCTAATAGGCATCTCATTCTTAACCTGTCCAAACCGAATTGTTTAACTTCCCCAATCTACTCTTCCCCTAGGTTTCCCCATGTAAGTACATGACCACTATTATCCATCCAGTTTCTGAAAACAAAAACTTTGGTATTGACTCCTTTCGTCCTTTGACAACATTCCCCTCCCTTTCCATTCAAACCAATAGTTATCATCCCTTCCTCCTACCGATCAGCTCAACATTCAAAATACATCCCAAACCTGATCACTTATCACCATCTTCATTGCCTTCACTCTTTTTCAAGCCACCATCACCTCTCATTCAAACTATTATAATCAATTCCCAATTCCCTACTTCCAATCTTGCCCCCTATCA